GGCAGTTCTACTCTGTCACATGGGGTTACTATGAGCAGGAATCGACTAGACAGCACTTAACAACAACTGTGTATATATATGTATGTATATATATGTATATATATGTATATATATGTATATGTATATGTATTAATTACAGCCAAGAAAACCCTATGGGGCAGTTCTACTCTTGTACATGGGGTTACTATGAGCAGGAATCGACTAGACAGCACTTAACAACAACTGTGTATATATATATATGTATATATATGTATATGTATGTATATATATGTGTGTGTATATATATATGTATGCTGTCAAGTTGATTCTAGCTCACAGTGACCCGTGTTTATACATGTGTGTATATACACATGTATGTGTGTGTGTATATATATATTGTGTGTATATATATATATAAAAACACATTGCCGTTGAGTCGATTCTGACCTTTAGGCGTAATCTTTACGGAAGCAGATTGCTGCATCTTTCTGCCACGGGGCTGCTGGTGGGTTTGAACTGCTGGCATATATATATATGTCTCAGACCCATTGCTTTGAGTCTATCCCAGCTCGTGGCAGTGCTGCTGGGTGGGTTCAAACCACCAACCCTTAGGTTCTGGTTGACACAAATTTTTGTGCCATCCAGGCGTCTTATAAATGTATACAAAACGAGCTCTAATATTGTGTTCACAGAACTTTCACAGTACAATATTTTCATAAACGTTGAGTTATGTATTGAACATTTGGAACATTTCACTTACGTTCAATTATCAGCAAGACCTATATTTTAGAAACACAGTGAAAATAATGGTAGCATCTCTGCCAGGTGATTTAATCTATGAAACATGAGGCAATTCAGGGCAAAATATACATGTTTACTGTGTATGGTAATGGTAAAATTGTAACAGATTTATATCCAACAGCATGCAGCCTGTTTTTAACAGAAGGCATATGGTAGAGAACCTCTGTGAAAGTTATGAAGATGATCAGTGTGGACAGACCTTCAGCTGGATTCCAGATGTTTCTGTGCTCAAAAGAACTCTTATTGAAGCGTATCGTTCTGAATGCCCTGAGTGTGGAAAATCCTTCATGGATCATTCATCACTTAGGCGTCATATCAGATCTCACTCTGGATGTAGTGCCTGTCAGTGTAAGCAATGTGGAGCCTGCAGTTGTCGCTCTTACCTCAGCACTTCTGTGAGTGCTTTTACTGGAAGGAAACCCTATGAATGTAAAGAATGTGGGAAAACCTTTAGGTGGCCATCACATCTCACTTCACATGTAAGATGTCACAGTGGAGAGAGGCCTTATGAATGTAAGGAATGTGGCAAAGCCTTTCATACATCCTCAAACCTCACTATACATATGAAAATTCACAGTGGAGAGAGGCCTTATGAATGTAAGGAATGTGGGAAAGCCTTTCGTCAGTCCTCAGGCCTAACTACACATAAGAGAACTCACAGTGGAGAGAGGCCTTATGAATGCAAGGGATGTGGCAAAGCCTTTCGTCTTTCCTCACACCTCACTAGACACATGAGAACTCACAGTGGAGAGAGACCTTATGAATGTAAGGAATGTGGCAAAGCCTTTAGTCAGTCCTCAAGCCTCACTACGCATGTAAGAACTCATAGTGGAGAGCAGCCGTATGAATGTGAGGAATGTGGTAAAGCCTTTAGTCAGTCCTCATACTTCACTAAACATATAAGTACCCACAGTGGAGAGAGGCCTTATGAATATAAATAAAACAAAGGTCCCCAGGCTGTGGAAAATTCCACTGCCTCAGGCAGCTTGCTTAGCATGCCCTGTAGCTTTAACATTCTGGTTCCCTTTAACTGCTGCCCAAAACTAGAGGAAATTGGCAGAAACCAGTTTAGGCGCCATGTTGACATTCTGAATAACCTTTTAGCTCATTAAATACCTCATACTTAGTAACTTCCCTACCACTGGGTGGAGTTTAACTGCCATTTTCTGAACCTGCAATGCATGAAGTTACATGTAAACCGCACTGCACCTGCACAGTATGATTAAGAATGTTACTGATGTAACTTGTATGGACTTCCTACTTGTAAACCCCACAAAAGTAACCTTCCCTCTTTACCTCACTGAGCAGTCTTGGTGGCAGCAGCCCTGACTGTTCCTTTTGCAATGAAATAAAAGTGCCTTTCTGATCTCCCACCTCAGTCTCTTGTTTATTGTCTGAAAGATTCGTGCTGAGCAAAACCTGGGGTTTCCACCTGGCAGCATAAGGTATGTGGCAATGCCTTTAGTTGGCCATCACACCTTACTACACATGTAAGAACTCATAGTTTAGAGAGTCCTTACGAATTTAAGAAATGCGGCAAAACGTTTAGTCACTCCAGACTTCACTGCACATATAAGAAGTCACAGTGGAGAGAGGCCTTATGAGTGTAAGGAATGAGGCAAAGCCTTTATTTGGTCCTCAGACTTCACTAAGCATACATGTACTCACAGTGGAGAACAGTCTTATGAATGTAAGGAATGTGGGAAAGTCTTTTATATGTCTTCAGACCTCACTATGCACATGAGAATACACAGTGGAGAGAGGCCTTGTGAATGTAAGAAATGGGACAGAGCCTTTTGTCTCTGCTCATACCTCTAGACATGGGAGAACTTATAGAGGAGAGGTGTTATGAATGTAAGGAATGTGGGAAAGCCTTTTATATGTCTTCAAACCTCACTATACACATGAGAATTCACAATGGGGAGAGGCCTTGTGAATGTAAGAAATGGGACAGAGCCTTTTGTCTCTGCTCATACCTCTAGACATGGGAGAACTTATAGAGGAGAGGTGTTATGAATGTAAGGAATGTGGGAAAGCCTTTTATATGTCCTCAGACCTCACTGCACATAAGAATTCACAATGGGGAGAGGCCTTATGAATGTAAGGAATGCGGTGAAGCCTTTCGTAAGTACTCACACCTCATGAGACATGAGAACTCATTGGAGAGAGGCCTTAAGTAAGGAATGTGGAAAAGCCTTTAGTCAGTCTCCAGTGCTTATGGAACATAAATAACCTCACAGTGGGAGAGACTTTATGAATGTAAGGAACGTGGAAAAGCAGCTGTTCCACATCCCTCACTGGATACATAAGAAATCACTCTGAGAGAAACATTTTGAATGTACGAAATGTGGGCAATTCTTTTGTGAATCCTCACACCTCACCATATTAAAATTCACAGTGGAGAGAGGTTTTACTAATATAGAGAATATAGGAAAATCTTCAGATGTCCTTCATCCTTTGGAACATATCCAAGAAGGATACTGGAGAGAAACAATATACGTTTAAGTAATGTTGGGTAGCTTTAATCTCTTTTTTCTTTTTTGTCTACCTGAAAGAAGATACGTGGCAGAGAAACCATGTAAGTGTAAGGAATGTGGGTTTTTGTTTTCCTCTCCATACTTTCAAAGACTCTATGCATATGGGAAAGCCTTTCCTACACGTAGGAGATGTGAGTAGTGATACTGGAGAGACATCATGTAAATGTAATGTCCATGGAAGCATCTGCAAGTATTTTTCAATTCATAGACAACATGTAAGATACTGTACTGTGGATAGATCCTATGAATGTAAAAGATGATGGACACTTTCAGTGTCCCTCCTACCTCAGAACGCCAATGAGGCCTCACACCCTTGAGAGTCCTTGTGACTATGAGCGTTGTTTGAAAGTCTTCATTCACATTTCCATTTTTGTGCACAAAGAGATTCAGAAAACCTGTAAGAGAAGGAAAACTCACTGGGTGTTGATGAGGTAGGATTCGTAATAGCGAGAGAGAAGTGGCAAGCACCCTGTCAGGTGGAAAACATGCGAGAGCAGGAAAAACAAGCCAGTTCCATTGAGTTCTGGCTCTCAGAATTTTCACTGTGTTTGTTTTATCATGATTTTGTTTAATTTGTCTCGTGTATTTTTTGTAAGGTAGATGCTGGGTCTAGCACAATTCTAATACAAATGTAATTTGAGTCAAAGATGTAAAATATTTTAGTAGCCATATTAGAAAATTAAAAGTGTAAATGTGACATTGTTAATGAAAAATCTTACTTAACCGAATATGTCTGGTTATTGTCAATGTAAAAATTGTAAATGAAATTAACAACTAAAGTAATCAATATAAATTTATTTTTGGGACATTTTACATTTCCATCCCTTTGTACTCAGTCCTCCAGAATCCAGAAGCAGCACAACTCATACATTTTACTGTTGAAAAAGGACATTCACAATCTCAGGTTACTTCAAACATACTTCTCCAATGATTGAATCAAGTTTGTTATATTTAAATTAATCAAAGTTAATTCACTTTCTCAGTTGCACGAGCCACATAGGTTGTTGACACAACTCTGTTAGTGTTTGAATGCAAAAGAAGTCCCCAGATCACTTTGTACTTTCCTGTTTCAGATCTAGAATCAACCATTTCTCCCCAAAACTCTGGTTCCTTTTAGAAATCAAGGTCTGTGCAATCCATGGGCTCAGTGCTAAGCCAAAACTTGTTGCCATTGCGTGAGTGTTATTTCTGCCTTTCAGTGAACATCTAAAATACATATTTTCTTACATCATAAATTCATACTTATATTCCCAATAACAAATTTAAAATTATAAGCTTTTTTAATGTCAAAGAAATGGTGCCAGACAATGCTAAATAGAGAAATTAGACTTTATTCAGGCTATTGCGATAGGAGAGAGACCTCGGCCTGAGTCTGAGTTCAACTCCAAAGAGTAAGGTGAATCAGGATTTTTTAATGACTTTTGGGTGATACGGGGCACTAGAAACTTACTAAGAGGAAGTTTGCAAGGAATAATGGAGCAGAAAGTCGGGTTTTAGGCAGGAATTCTAATGGTTTTCAGAGATGTTTGCTCAAGGCTGACTTACTAGGCTGAAGGAAGAAACATTCCTGGGGTAAATGATGTAAATGGGCAAATCTTGTCATTTTCTGTTATTTTACATTTGTATCTTTTATATATCTTTTCTGTCAATAAAATCCTTGGTTCCTGGTAACATTCAAATACTTTCAAAATCATACTAATAGTACTACCAAATAAAAACTTACACAGTAAAGTTGTGAGGTTTTTGTTTTGTTTTGCTTTGCTTTTACAATCATGCATCACTTAATGTCCACAATACATTCTGTGAAATAGGATGTTATGTGGTTTGAAGGTTGTACAAACATACCTAAATCACGAGCAATAGCATTCACTGATGATTTTCCACCTTCCTGTTGTTTTAATAACCTTTTGTTTCACTTACAAATCAATACTTCTCCTTTGCCTCTTGCTGCTGCTATCGCTAGCACCAGTTTTGCTGTGTTTGGGAGCCATGATGCACTTCACGGTAATATTTTTGAAAGGAAATTAAGCAGAGAGAGAACACTGACAATCAAGAGACATGTTACGTGAGATTGGATACTGCTGCCTATGAGTCAAAGCATACACTGTTACACGGCAAACTATAAGTGGGGAAAATTCACGTTAAAATAGAAAGTACAGTACATACATAAGCCAGTAACATAGGTAGTTATGACGTTATATGTGTTCTGTACCATATTTGTGTATTGTACCATTATATGGCTGGGTTGAGTGGTGATAACACTGGAATGTGGTCCAGAAGGGCTTTGCTTTCACAGAAAGCAGAATAGGAGTCTAGCATGGGCAGTCAGGCCCAGCACTGGGGAAAGACATTCTCAGAGACACATGGTCCTCCTGATGACCTGTCACCTTGGGCATCAAGGACTGTGTGGGTTTCAGTTGTCCTTTGAGCTCTCCACTAAGTGGAACCTTTCCTGGTATTTTATTCCCATTGAGCTTAATGTCCCCCGCATTGGAGGTCAGGCTTGTTTCTTTTCTTGACCTACTCCTACATTTGGAGTGACTAATTTTAGTGCAATGTGACAACCAGCTCCTGGGGCTGCAGACAATGGTGGTGATGCTACAGGCTGGCACAGGCTCGGCC